AGAATCACTCAGCCTACAAAATCTCCAGTTTTCATTTTGATCAGTGTCTGAAGACTGAGTGGCATCACATAAAAAATCCAGGAAAAAACATATTGAGAGCACCTTTTGAAAATTTTCTCAAAGTTGTCAAGAAACTAGAAATAAGCACTCTTGGTTTTCATCATAAAAACTAATGTTTACTGTTCACCACGGAGCAACCAGATGATTTATTAAGGAGTAATCGCTTTGAAATGTTCTACTATAGCCATTCTCTTAGTCATAGTCTCCTCTACCGCGTTTTTCAACTTGCACTGTCATCGTAAGCAGTAGACTAATTGAGTGCTTTATCGTTCGAAAAAAATTTCAAACTACGACCCATGACAACAACGAACATCAGTGTTAGAGAGAAACTGCATAAGGGCGCAATTCGGAAGGAAAAAGCGTACAAGATGAAAAGCGTAGGCGGATGCACTAAAAGTAGTAGTGAGTGTATCCGCCTACGCTTTTCATCTTGAACGCTTTTTCCTTCCGAATTGCGCTAGTATGCAGTTCCTCTCTAACACTGATGCTCGTTGTTGTCATAGGTCATAGTTTGAGATTTTTTTCGAACGAAAGCACTCAATTAGTCTACTGCTTACGATGACAGTGAATGTTGAAAAACATGCTTGATCCGCAATCAAGCCCTCCATTAGTCTTCTGGCCCCCAGGGAAACACACGCCGCTAATTTGGAGCAACCGGTAGTCCAGCTTCCGAAACTTTGATGAAAATCAACCGTTAATGTACTTATTTACAAAGGATGTCAAGTAACTTAGAATCGCGTTTTGAGACGAAACACATATGTTTGAAATCAGCTTCGAATGTGACTCCAAATATGCCGATCCTAGCTGCGTAGTATTCTGAAGAGAGTTATGAGCTTTCGTCTGCGGGCATTTGCCATACTACTCAACATGGGAAGGCTGCCTATAGAGGTAAATCTGAAGAACAAGGGTGCTGGGGAGACGGTCTTTCTGCTCGGGCGGTCTCCAGCGCCGCTTTAATTTTTACTTGTCTTGACACGTCACGTATGCCGCATCTTTCCTCCCCTTGCTTTTCTCAGGCAAAACCACCGCAGCGTGTGTCGTGTGCGGCGGTGGTCCTGTGTGGAGGGCATTACGGTCGTGCGAATCGCCCTACATCCGGTGCTGGGATACCAGGATGTAACAGACTGAGTCTTTTGCCATTGACAAATGCTTTACAGAGTGAATTAGCACTTAGATGATGAACCGTAATGTCATTAGGACAGATAGCATGCAGATTTTGCATAGAAAAAATCAATAACTCCGTTCAGAGTAATGTGCCGCAGCTAATAACAGATATTCGGAATTAGCGTTCATAGCTGATTCCAAATGTATGTATCTCATCTCGAAATGAAACCGCGAAATAGCAATAGTGCGATTCTTATCTTCAAAGTGTAACCTATGTAATCTGAATACATGGGCAGTACCGTAAAGACGTCCAAGGAAATTTGTGGCCTACCAAAACTTGCGACTGGATCCGTTACGTGTTACTCAACATACTATAACTGCTAAGAGAGAACATCTCGAGCACAATTTTGTAGCCCCCAGGCGCCCGGCCTAGGTTTTTTGTCACACTATTAGTCTTGAACCACCGTGAGACGTACGAAACACCATATCTCGTGTATTGATTCTGAGGTGCCTTGTTCGTTCCTCAACAGTTCCTTAACAGTTTCTCGACAGTCACCTATTCACTGTTCTGTATTAGCTCTTCTGTACTACTCACGCCAGATCCTCCGCCGTCTGGTTTCTTCTGGTCGCTAGGTGGTCCTTCCCCGCTCCAAGCCCGGGGTCAGCGATCGCCCCGTGGAAATCAAGAGTAGGCCTAGTAAGCCACCTCTTGTAGGGGAACAAATTTTATTACTCAGACAGCAAGAAGATTTAGAAAAAACCCTGTACATCGGATCCCGCCTACGGCGCCGGGTGGTAGCAAGAACGATGTCAAGGTACTCAGGGCGCCTTTCGGATTGGACAAAAACGACACGTCTGCCCGGACGACACGCCATGGAGATTGCCTCATGCTCTGCACCTACAACGCCAGGACAGTCTCCACAAACGCCGACCTACACGCTCTTCTCGACGCTGCAGAGCACATCAACTACCACATCATCGCTCTGCAGGAAACGAAGTCCAGGAAGAAGGACGTGCGACAGATGAGTGATGGGACCCTCATCATTCGTGGTGAAAAGGTTCCATCACGAAACGTGGGAGGCGTCGGCTTTGTCGTCCACCCATCTATCGTCCACCTTGTCGATTCGCACGAGCTCTATCACCTCGACTAGGCATCCTACGACTACGCTCCACATCAGAAGACCATCAGCATCATCAACTGCTATTCTCCAACATCAGCAGCTGACGAATCAGAACTAGATGCTTTCTACGAAGATGTGGAGGAGGTCGTCCGCAACGAGAAGTCCTTTTATAAGTTTGTTGTGGGCGACTTCAACGCGAAAATCGGGATGCCACTGGAAAAGGAATATAGGATCGGGAAGTTTGGATATGGGCTCCGGAACGAAAACGGCAACCGTCTTGTTGGGCTTCTCTCCGCCGCACGACTTTTCCATGGAAATTCCATCTTTATGAAGAAAGAACATCGCCGGTGGACATGGGAATCGCCCAACGGAACGACCCACGCGGAGATCGAACACATTCTCACCAACCGAAGGTGGAGCTTGCTCGATATCTCAGTAGTTCCATCCTTCTGCAGTGGCTCCGATCACCGCCTCCTTCGAGCGAAGGTACGATTCAGTCGAAGGCTGGAAAAGAAGGTCTGCCACAGTGCCGCAAGAAGGAAGAATGTCGTTTATGACGGTAACAGGCTGGAGGAGCTCATATCAAGTTGTGACTGGCCCATCGAGGAGAACCCAACGTACGACTACGACCGGCTTCTGAAAGGATTGCGAGCCTGTGGAGAGTGCGTCTCAGTGACTTCCGAGAAGTATGTTGAACGCGTTTCGAAAACCACCAAGGAAATGCTTGAAAGAAGAAGATTTCTGAGGCAGGATCCGAATGCAACCCATCTCGAGCGACTGATAGCCAACGCCAGTTGCAGAACAGCTTTGCAGGAGGATCTCAGGAAGTACAGGCAAGCCAAGATACTGGAAGCAGCCGAAGGAAGACGAAGTCTCAAGAAGTGCCGAAGGGATCTCTGTGAATATCGCGTACCGCTGGCTGCACTATTGAACGAAGACGGGACTCCGACTTCTTCCCGATACAAGATGGAATCTATCGCGAAGAACTTCTATACCAACCTCTTCCGCTCATCAACACCCGTGCCGATGCCCGTTGTTCCCACTGGAGAAGTACCATTACGAATTCTACCTGCTGAAGTGCGCACAGCGATTCAGACCACGAAGACGTCTACGGCTCCAGGACCAGACCATCTTTCCGTCGAATTTCTGCGAGCTGGAGGACAACGTCTACACGAGATCCTCGCGTCGCACCCAACAACTTAAGGAGTGGACCCAGCTTACGTGAGGACGTTTGCCAACTGTTACAAGGACTGTACAACGACGATGCAGCTATTCCATTGCCCCCTGACCATCCCAATTGGGAAGGGGGTTCGACAAGGCGACACAATTTCGCCGAAGCTGTTCACCGCGGCCTTGCAGTGGGTGATAAAATCACTGGACTGGGACGAGAGAGGCACACGAGTTGATGGGAGATTCCTGTCGAACCTTCGTTTTGCGGACGACATTGTCAACTTTTCGAGCAGTATCACTGAAGCAGAGACGATGCTGAAGAAACTGAACGAAGTAGGGAAGAAGATCGGATTGCGAATCAATCGGAAGAAGACTCAGTTCATGAAGAACGCCCTTTGCGAAGATGCAGAAATGGAATTGGAAGGCACCCCTATCACGGAGACGTCTTCTTACGTGTATCTCGGACGTTCGATGAACATGGAGAACGACTTGAGGGAAGAACTTAACAGCAGAAGAAGAGCAGCCTGGGCCGCCTTCGGGCCTCTGAAGGAAGCCACCGACCAACTGACGGACCCGGAGCTTCGTGCCCACCTGTTCGACTCAACCGTTCTCCCGGCGCTCTGTTACGCACCTGAGACTTGGGCTGACACCGTCGCCACTTCGAAAGCTTTAAGGACCACCCACAGAGCGCTAGAGCGTAGTCTTCTGAAGATGACCCGACACAAACAACATCTCGTCGGACTTCGCAGTACGGATATGAGGAGAATGTCCCGTCTTCGTGACCCAGCGGATTACGTTGCGAAAGCGAAGCATCGATGGGCCGGTCACATCATGAGAAGAACAGACGACAGATGGACACTAAGAACATCGGAGTGGATTCCTCGCGAAGCAAAACGTCCCCGAGGAAGACCACCAACGAGATGGGCAGACGTGTTCGTAAAACGGATGGACCAGCTGAGAAATCAGCTGGATACGATTTTTGCACCTGGAACTCGTGGACGCAGCCACCGACGTCACCCAAGAAGATCGTGGATGTCAGAAGCGAGGGACAGGGAGAAATGGAAACTTCTGAGCTGGGGCCCGCACGTCACGTGAAGCCGGGCCATCTAAGTATCTAAGTAAGTAAGTAAGTACTACTCTTATTCTCTGTATTTGTATATCAGCTTTTTCTTGTGGTTGTCATATCTTTGATAAACCATTTATATTTTTACCAGTTGTCCCGCTAAGTCAGTGGAACCTGCGGTCTGGACCGTCCTACCGCCACTATTTCGTTCTGAACTCGCACGAATCGTTTTCATGCGTTGAGTTCATGCGCCACTATTTCGTTCTGAACTCGCACGAATCGTTTTCATGCGTTGAGTCTCATCACACTCACAATAAATTGATTTCAGTCGGTTGTATAGCAACCATGAACGACGAATAAGCATAATAACATTTGGATTTATGATCTCCTAGAAGCGAAATGAACGCCCATTCGGTGGCTTCTAAGTTCCAGCAATCTTAGTTAAATTCCGACTTTGCCCGGGACGGTCGGCTTCTCTTAAGATGAAGTGGTTCTTCGTGGCTCTTCTCTCAACTCAGGTGATTTGCTGCCTCTGATGGCTAGGTCGTTATCAGATTTCTCACACGCTGACCTAACTCGTCATCTTTCAGGCATACCTGGTTTTATCCTGCGCTTTTGATAGAGTGGAAACGTTGACTGGCAGTGATCGTTATAGTTTTGATGTTATTAACGAGAGCGAGTGCTTTGCCAAGTGCTTCCAAAACACGTCATGCATTGGGATTCGGTACCGAGAGATAAGTTCAAAGCATTGCAGTTTGAACAGGATAAATGTAGCACTTCCCCATCAAAACTACCCTTTGATTCAACTGGCTTGGCGGCTGGAAGACGGGGCTTTGGGATCTAATTGACGCTAGGTAATGATCAGAGAGCACGCGCGCGGGAGAGATGCAGACTGCGTGGCGGCGCGGCCTCTTGGACCACAAATCCCCGCCTTCCAGCCCACAATCCAGGTGCATCAAAGGCTAGCAGCATTTGGACTGAGAAAAATAGTACTGGGAGATATTAGCATGGGAGGGCGTGAAGACGATTGCAGAAAGGTATAACAAATGCGTCGACTTCGTATCTTCCACACTGCAGGCTCCTTATTTGTGAACCAAACATAGTGTCACTTATGGTCTGGTAGATTTGGCGAATATGGTGCCGCGGTAGATTTTGTGATAAAATCTGCTCGTGAGCACATAATTGCGCCTGGAATTTTGCACGCGCAAAATGCCAACATCACAGATTAGCAGTAGCGGTTCAATTATTCACAGGAACAAACAAGTCGCTTGCACACTTTTGCAAACGTGTAGACAACTTTAAAAAATTTCTCAATCCATTCTCGGGGAGGGCCTCTGCCCGCTACTGCAGAGTAGATATGTGTTCCGCATAAGCTATCGCAAAATCTCTGCAAAGCAAGAGCACCGTAAAACATACGCGACTGCAAACCCCTTCTCTCCTCACCCATAACCACCCTTCCCCCTCTTCCTTTCATAATCAAGAACATTCAATGAGATCTCGACCAAAAAACACACCTTTTAGTTCTTTTGATCATGCTCCTTCCCAATGTCTTTGAGTAAACAGCATTGTGCTCTGTTGACGTTTATCTCTTTCACATTTTTGCCCCTAACGAGCCATATGTGATGGGAAAGTCATCCAGACTGCCAGTACAGGTTTAATCAAAACGTTATAGAGTCTCAACGACTGCCGCGTGTTCTTTGCTGGGGAAAAGAAACACAAGAAACGAGACGGAACCGTTTTGTACAGCTTTCAACGCGACGATATGGATTCGACGGGATGCACGAGATTTGTGAACATCTAAATAGTAGTGAAGCAGACTTCCCGTGAATCGCATCTATGAACCACGCTATAGAACAACGTGAATGCTGCAAAATAAAGCACTCTTTGTGTGGCATTTTATAATCACATAGTGAAGCTGATGCAGAGCGTAGCTGTACGATACACCCAGACAAAATACACTTCGCGTAGCCCCTTTCAGAAGGATTTTTTTATAATCAGAATTTTCCGAACTGAAGTGAAGTTTGATACGCGGCACACGAACAACTCATTTCATTCCTTGCAGATGAGTACTTGCTACATATAGCTGTAACAAACAAACATTCATCGATTTTTGAGTTGTGTAAAACAGTGAAATTGAACGAGGGGCAGATGGTAGCAAGTTTGCCCATGAGAACATAGGGAATGGAAAGAGAGGAAATTGACCAGCAGATGCATACTTCTTCCACACTTCAGCGTGTAACCATTGTTTGTAGAGATCTACAAATTATGAAGACAGTGGCAGGATGATAGAGCAAATTGAATACGTGCGTAACTTATCTCAAAGGTGCAGATTCCCTTTATAAAACAGAGCCTTGACAAAATCATGTGTCGCATACCTCCCCCCCATCTCTCTTCTACAGGAGAAAAATCGACTTTGTGTGTAACTTGAGAAGCTTAGTGTTTTTTGGTCGATTGAATATGCCCCTTCCCAATTTTTTGGAGAAGACAGCAGTGTGCTTTGATGACGCATGCTTTCTTTGCACTTCTGCTCTTGAGTGAGCTATTCATGACTGAAAATATGAAGAATTAACAATAACAAACAAAAAAAACTATTACAGTCAGTACATCAAAACTTTGCAGCTTAACGACTTCTGCCGCTTGTTTTGTGCTGGAATGTACGAATACAAAAAAAAAGATCGAAAGCGATCCCTTGTACCGTTCGATTCAGCTGGCTTGGCTCTCGAACTCGAAGCTCTCGGACTTCGTGACCTAATTAAGGCTGGCTAATGATTAGTGAGCAAGCGCGCGAGGGAGAGTCAGGCTGCGACGCGAGCGGCATTGAAGGCAGTGTCCGGGCAAAAACCCGATTTTGAGAATTTGCGCTTATAGGGTCTATTCGCCGTGCTGAATTTGAAAATCCACACTAGAGAGCGGCAAAAAAGGGCTTTAGCGTGGAGGGAAACAGCAAGTGGGAGGGGCCCATCCCCACTGTGAATTCACGCTCCCAGCTCCCGGAGCAATTTTCATCGATTCCGCTAGCCATCCTAACATCGCTACCGGCCAAGTGCGAATGATTGACTGAAACGAAGCGAGAAGATCGTCCCGGAAGCTAGGAGCGTGAAATCACAGGGGGAGGATCCCGTCCACCTGCTGATTTCCCTCCTGTGTTAGAGCCGTCTTTCGGCTTTTCGGGCTCTCCAATGTGCATTTTCGGATTCAAGTAGCGAGTAGGGGCTAAGCACAAAATCTCCAAATCGAGTTTTTTGCCCGGACATTGCCTTTGATTACGTCACAAAGCCCGCCTTCCGAGAGCCAAGCCAGTCGAATCAAATGTTACAACTTCCAACGATGTGGATTCGAAGGGATGCACAAGATATGTGGCCGTCTAAATGTTAGTGGAGCAAACATTCAGCAAGCAGCTACAACGCGCTATACAGCCATCATCGTGTTGTAATATAGAACCCTCACTGTTTGATCACAAAAGCACAAAAAATTCACAGAAAAATCACTATAGCAATATAGGCGTGCAACAGGCCTTTTGATTTTCGTATCCCGGATGGAAACTGAGATTTATGCAAACTCTACAGTACATCCGCCGTACCTCAACATACATTGCAGATTGATAACATTTGTTGACTCACATGGGAAGGAAGGTGGGTCGAAGTGGCCTTTCAGAATGAGATGGGTATCATCTTGTAGGGCTTCGAACGCTGATTTCAAATCTGCCTTCCTTATCTGCGGCGCGTTTTTGGTCGAGGAGTTATAAGGGTTTCCACGGGGCGGAAGTCGACACAAGTACAATCAAGGACAGCACACCGCTGTGTGCCGTCTGGTGTAGTAAAGTCGTCCTCCCCCCACTAGACACTTAGTGGACGAATTCGAATTTGAACTAGAGCACGACGGTTGCGGCAGAGCGCGGCACCGTCAAATGCATTTCAAGCTAATGCAGTTTTCTTTTGTTTTTTTGGCGTTGCATCGTGGTTTTTACTTGTTTTAATGATGACTGTAGCCAAAATTGAAGTTCTTTCTTGTTGATTAGCTATGTTTCGTACTACTAAGCTCGTTGCTTTACTCTTTTTCAGGAGAGGTTGGAGAAACGATGCACATGGAGAATTCCTGACATGAAGTGTTCAATGAAGCAACACTTCAAAACTTACCGAGAAAAATTTCACCAGCTTTCAAACTTAGGCCTTTTTTTCAAGCTTAACTAGGAATCGTAGTGAAAGAAACGAGCATACAGCACGATCCATAGCTCAAATAAAAGCAACAATCTCAATACGAAGTGAAAAAACTGTCAGCATCAAAAAATTGGGTTGAAACATCGCGAAAACACAAAAAAAATTGTATGAGATTGAAGTGGGAGCTGCAGGTGCCGCGCTCTGCCGCAACCGGCGTGCTCTAGTTCGAATTTGAATTTGTCCACTAGGTGTCTAGTGGGGGGAGGACGACTATATTTAGTGTGGTGGTCTTGCAGGGAGAGGCTCCTAGTTCGAATCTCCTACTCTGGTCTTTCTTTTGTTGGTCTACAAAAAATTTGTATGAGCACGCGTATCGTCTATACATCAACTCTTCCTTCTTTTGACTGCAAATCTCTTCAAGAAAGTTTTATTACTCTATGTTTTTAAACGTCTATGTGCACTGATGAAAGGAGAGGACAAAATGTGCAAAACATACGAGCGGGTGGGCAGGCGGGCGTTCCAAAACCTCTCGGATGTGCATCAAGGTAGCCGCTGGCGTACCAGGAATAAGCCAAGAGAACAGGCAAGAATATCTTGTAGGTTAATGAGTTTTTGACTGCGTAACTTGTACGTGCGTTTTTCAGCTTTACCAACTACGAACATGGGTCTTTGCATGTTAAGGACATTGTGACCTCTTAAGTTCACCGGGGTGTTACGTGACAAATTGATTCTTTTGACATTTCTGCCTCCACTTTAAATCACTTGCAAAGGCCTTCAGAGAGAGCAGTTGTTGCCTTGAGATTCTGATAAAAGAAACAGGAGGTGGTGTATGGACGCTGTTCATGCTCATACAAATTTTTTGTAGACCAGCGAAACGGAAATCACAGCAGAAGATTCGAACCTGGGAGCCTCTGCTTGCAACCACCACACAACCACTACACCAGACCGCACACAGCGGTGTGCTGTTTTTTTTTTGTTCTTGTATCGACTTCCGCCCCTTAAAAACCCTCATAACTCCTCATCCAAAAACGCGCCGCAGATAAGGAAGGCAGATTTGAAATCAGCGTTCGAGGCCCTAAAAGATGATACCCATCTCATTCTGAAAGGCCACTTCGACCCACCTTCCTTCCCTTGTCAGTGTTAGTCCGAAGTCAGTCTCCTTACTCCTTTTGTCGAAAGTATTAGTAACTGCGCTATACCAAAGGCTCTGCACCGAGCCATCGCTTGTTGTCCCTAGCAGCGTTACCACTTTCAACAAAGCTACAGAGACAAAATTTTTCCCTTGAAGAAATAGCGATAAAGCCACGTGCTGAAGCAGAAAGAAAGGAAAAAACAACAAGAGTTCTTTTTTGTATTGAATTCCCACAAATAGAATATAAAGTAACGTATTAATGTATTCTATGCAACATAACATAACCAGGGGCGCAGCTATTCTATCTGGTTACTTTATCAGTTTTGCTTCTAGGTTTGATTTGGATAACTATGATATATATGATTCATTATAAAAATAAGATTTTAGGAAAGACCCTAGGATATAATGTGATTTTGAGTATTGCTGTTGTCAACGAGAAAGATTGTCTATCCCTATTTAATTTAAAACTTTCAAATGCTCTCATTTTCACGTTTCTCGCCATTGCAGATATATGTTATACACCAGTGCTTCACCTCTGCTTCGCAGAGGCCCGCACTGGCTTTACTGTCTAAGCTCTACTCATTCTCGCATAATGATGACCATGAAACTCACCAAGCAATGCCGAGTATCACTAACAAAATATAAACAACTACTCATTCTGAAAGCATTTTCATGTGAAATCGGCCATTTCGCGTGGATGAAACTTTTTGCAGGAGAAAAAACGCGATTTTCTATATGTTTTTGATTTTCCCGTGGTCTTGACAGTTGGCATAAGAGCAGTACTCACGTGAGCTAAATTTTTGTGCAAAAATCTCCACAAATGCTCTGGTAAAACCTTGGCAAATTGACCATTTACGAACCAATACTGTTTGGCGCCGTTTTTGTAAAGCACTTTTGATCACTTTTTTGGGCCTACGTTCATGGCTTGCACATTTACTTGCCATAAACATCCACCACTCTGCAAATAGTGGAATTACGGACCCAGATTTATGGGCCAAATGCAAAGTGGATCCGTTTGACACGCAGTTTTTAAGAGACCCACACAACGAATCTGCTTGTGCTTTTGCATGTTGAACTTTCATGCCAGTAACTTTCATGCCTTTCATGCCTGCATGTGCTATGCAAAATTTGAGCTCAGGACGTTGGCTGGAACACGCTCTACGAATTTCGTGACAGACAGACATTCAGCACACACACAAAAACACGTAAACACTCTTAGCGCGTTATTATGGTAGGATGATAGTCGCTCCGATTGCTACGGTGCCAGATTTTGTGTATGTGTATTCTACAGTATGTTTTTCAAATATCTTAATCCTATCAATAACATCCTTTTCACTCAACGCCGCATCTAACATTTAGACTTTCATTTAAAGCTACAGTTATAATTTTGAGTTGCTATGGAAAATAAAAAAGTCTCGAAGCAGATATTTATCATCGCAGAGCTTTCCGGACGGAAGTTACTAAGATTTGAGTGTATTAAAATACGCCACTCTACCAAGTGATCACTGGCTT